GCAGTTTGAATACGGAATCAATGAGTTTCTTTATCGTGTTTTCCTTACAGATCACATTCGTTGACTTCGTAATGTACGAATTAGTTGATCAACTTCTTTACGTTGATCCCAAAGTTTTGGATAAGTACAACAACTTGAAGGTATTAAGTTCGTTACATAATATTATAGTTTGGTGTTATATGGCAGATTAGTGGTAATTGTTAATGTACATACCTAACTCTATGTATTTTGTTTACAGGCATTCCAGAGCCGTTTTGAGGTGAGTACACTGTGTCAATAAAATAAAATAAACAATGTGATTGTTGAAAATGAAAAAAAGTAATCATTTGAAATGAACAGTGTGATCATTTGAGACGACTAATGTGATCATTTGAAATGTACAATGTGATCATTTGAAATGCGTAATGTAATCATTTGAAATGTACAATGTGATCATTTGAGGAGACTAATGTGATCATTTGAAATGAACAACGTGATCATTTGAAATTTACAGTGATCATTTGAAATGAACAATGTGATCATTTGAAATGTACAATGTGCTCATTTGAAATGAGTAATGTAATCATTTGAAATGAACAATGTGGTCAATTGAGACGACCAATGTGATCATTTGAAATGAACAATGTGATCATTTGAAATGAGTAATGTAATCATTCGAAATGAATAATGTAATCATTTGAAATGAACAGTGTGATCATTTGAAATGAATTTTGTAATCATTTGAAATAAATTATGCAATCATTTGAAATGAATAATGTAATCATTTGAAATAAACAATGTGATTATTTGAAATGAATTTTGTAATCATTTAAAATAAATTATGCAATCATTTAAAATGAATAATGTGATCATTTGAAATTTACAGTGATCATTTGAAATGAACAATGTGATCATTTGAAATGTACAATGTGCTCATTTGAAATGAGTAATGTAATCATTTGAAATGAACAATGTGATCAATTGAGACGACCAATGTGATCATTTGAAATGAACAATGTGATCATTTGAAATGAGTAATGTAATCATTCGAAATGAATAATGTAATCATTTGAAATGAACAGTGTGATCATTTGAAATGAATTTTGTAATCATTTGAAATAAATTATGCAATCATTTGAAATGAATAATGTAATCATTTGAAATAAACAATGTGATTATTTGAAATGAATTTTGTAATCATTTAAAATAAATTATGCAATCATTTAAAATGAATAATGTGATCATTTGAAATGAACACCTGCCGTCAGAAGTGGACATTTTGCAGTTATACTATTTCCCTTAAAGTAATAAACTTAATAATCTTACACTGTATCTTCACACAACACATCTTCGCTAGCCAAAGTTCAATCATTCGGCCATTACCTCACCACTACTCTTTGGCAGATGGTATATAACCAACCCGTATTTAGGTGCGCGCTCTCTGGCAATACTTAAGATTTTTTCTTCAATTCTTTGTCCAGTCAAATTTCCTGGTATAGCTGCATAACGGGCAAAATTACAGTAGAAGTTTTCTTCCTAGCTAGAGATTGAGCTGACACTTTACAATATGAGGGCTAAAAATCCAATTATTTTTATGAGCTTGTTTCCCCCATTTTCACTATATTATACAAGAAACACAGACATGACATAAAGCCATCTGAAATGCACAGTAATATTCGTGTGCATGGTGCAAGCTATATGCTCTCAGTATAATGTGGGCATACATTTTCAACCGTTTATTTGAAAACATGGCATATATATGTCTCGGAGGCATTAACTGTGAACTGATAATTTGAACATGATTTCAATATTTTTGCACAGACTCACCCATGCCTGGAGCGGAGGCTCGATGCTGACCTCTTGTGTCCGACTTTGCGTTCATGCAGGTTTCCTTATCAAGTTTGTGTTATCGCTAAATCCCAAGATGTTTCTGACTGAATCGCCGGAGGCAGTGGTCAAAGTAATTGCAGTCAGAAACATCAAGGGGAATTAGTTACCATGACCACATTCACGGGCAGAAAAATTGGCTACTTTGACATGAAGCTCATTTTGTTCCAAATAGCCTTAATTACGAAGTACACGTTACCAGTATGTTCTGTCAGAACATCTGCTCCTTGTTCCTTTTGATTGAAATACGTAGTTTCAGAGAGCGCTGCGTGTTATGCAGAGCGGAGGGGGGGGGGGAGTTAGGAGGTGTTGTTTTCATCATGGGTGAATAACCACATGTTCAGTTTTAGTTTTATGATCATCTTTATTTAAAAACAATTATCTATGATATCGACAGTGAAAACACTGACTACGATTTGTGATTTGTTTTCAGACATTACCAAAGATTGATGCTTACATGAAGTCTGACCGTTTTATGAAGAACCCTTTAAATAACCCAACAGCTTTTTTCGGGATGAATTGACAAGTGTAGAAAAATGTATTTCAATAAATGTTTAAATCGTGTGTCTATGTGTTTAGTATCGATTTCAATTGAGAGATGGCACAGCTAAGTTACATGTTTAAGTTTATTAGTTCGCTACAACAACACAGTGTTCTGAATGAAAGCATATTGGGAAGAAATTGAGCTGACATTTACTATCTGTTAGTAAATTGCTAAAAATCCAACTGATTAGATAAATTAATTTTATATATGAAATACGGGCACCTTGAAATGAACGGTAATATTCGTGTGCTTGATGCAAACTATATGCTCTCAAAATAATGTAAACACAGATTGTCAGCCGTCACACTTTTGAAAACATAGCAACTAATTATGTCTCTGAGGGAAAAACTGTGAACTAATAATTTGGGAATGATTTCAATATTTTGCACAGACCGACCCTTGCTCGGGGAGGAGGCTCCATGCCGGTGTACGTGCGGTGCTTTGAAGAAAGGGATACATGGAATCGACTGCGATGCCTGCATCAAATACGCATTGTAACCGAATCAAGTAATAGTAAATAAATCGTTCGACCAACTGTAGTATTTGTTCAGAACTAGGCCTGGCAAGTGGAAATTGTGAAAGGGCCGCCAAAAATTGCATCGGCGATTCTTCGCGATCGGCAACACAAAGCCAGTTGTCACATGTTACGCCAACCTTGATTGGGCGCATGCTTTAAAGGCGCCTCCAATCAGATCCATAGATTTTACTGAATCGGACGTAAAATGCGTGACT